AAGCACATATTATCTAAAAACTTATTATTCAAAACATCATTTTCTTTCAATTTCTCTTTATAATGACTATCAGGGGCTTATTGGGATATAATTATTGTTAATTATATAAATACACTTTTAATCTCTTACTATTAACTTCCATTATTAACTATCCACTTATTATATATAAATTAACTTACACAAAAAAATGCGTGAAAAAGGAAAAGAAGAAAAAAAAAAACTTCCCATTTGGTGTCTAAGTTCAATCCGTAAAAAAGACTAGTCTTGAGCACATAATAAATAAATATATTATATAACTAAATTCAATCTTGAAAAATTATAAACGTACCATAGTTAAAATAAAGCACTTTGATTGTCGAGAGCATCCAAGGTACATTTCACTGAAGAAAAAAAATTATAGTTAACGATGAGATAATCATATTATTTGCACAATAAATATAAAATTATGAAATTAATCTAAATAGACATGATAATAAGGGAAAATAAACGAGTAAATTTAACCAATAATCACTGAACTTTACACTTGATTACTACTTGCTCACTCATTTTTCACATATTACTGAATGCTCACTCATCTTTTCATATAATTACTCATTCACCACTCGTCTCTTCAAATAATTGGACGACTTTTACGGCAAATTTTCGACAACTTCCGACCACAAAGAATGTCGAATTTTGATACCATTGGAAAGCCCGCGATATCCTCTTCAATTACCACCCAAAATCTCATTATAACTCCAAGGGATTCGATCGAAAAATTGCCTTAAAAGTTGCCCAAAAATTTTGAAAATCTGCCCAGATTTTTAGATTTTTTGGGCAACTTTTAAGACAGTTTTTCGGCAACTTTCGACCTTCAAAACTATCGAATTTTGATATCATTGGAAAGCCCACAATGTCCTCTTCAATTACCATCCAAAATTTTCCCATAACTCCAAAGGATTCGGTCGGAATAAACCTACAAAATCAGCATCTTGAAAAGGCGAAAATCTGGACAAAGTTCGGGACGCTGACTTTGTGGGTTTATTCCGACCGAATCCTTTGGAGTTATTGGGAAATTTTGGGTGGTAATTGAAGAGGACATTGTGGGCTTTTCAATGGTATCAAAATTAGATAGTTTTGATGGTCGAAAGTTGTCGAAAAATTGCCTTAAAAGTCACCCGAAAATCTGAAAATCTGCCCAGATTTTCAGAATTTTTGTGCGACTTTTAAGGCAATTCTTCGATCGAATCCCTTGGAGTTATAATGAGATTTTGGGTGGTAATTGAAGAGGATATCGTGAGCTTTCCAACGGTATCAAAATTCGACATTCTTTGTGGTCGAAAGTTGTCGAAAATTTGCCGTAAAAGTAGCCCAATTATTTAAAAAGACGAGTGTTGAATGAGTAATTATATGAAAAGATGAATGAGCATTCAGTAATATGTGAAAAATGAGTGAGCAAGTAGTAATTAAGTGTAAAGTTCAGTGATTATTGGTTAAATTTACTCGAAAATAAACAGATGACGTTATAATTTACTCAATAAAAAATAAACATATCAAGTCAAGCAGTGATGCTGGGCATTGCCCCCAATTTGAATTTTTGTCGCTTATCAGCCTAAATTTTTCATCCTCCCTAGCTTGTGCCAAGTTTTTTTCCCTTAGTTGTTGGTTTCCACAACTGCCACATTTGCTTGCTAATAGTGGCTTATAGCTTGTTGGTTTAATCTCATATAAAGCTTGAGACTTAATTGAAGTGTGTAAGGTAGTGTTGGACCACCATTTTCGCCATGGTCAGCCACTTGACCATTTTTTAGGTTGCATATAAGCAATACACTTACATACATCTCCAAGTGATAATTAACCTCTATGTGTTCGTCTAACAACTCCAATATATGATTGCTAGCACCATCCATGACCGGTATGGTGGTTTATAGCAGTCTTTATTGGTTTATGTCCAACCATACAACTGTAGGATCGATGAAATTAGGATATTGTTCAGTTGCCAACCTTCGAAGTTATAATATATTGATGGAAAGGGAAACCCAAAGCAATATGCGGCTCATTTAATTGAAACATGTAATAATGTCGAGACCTAAAATGATATCATGGTAAAGCCGTTTGTACGCTATTTCAAGGGCATGTCTGAATTGCGTACAAATTGATCAATCGATAGTTGAAATTAAATTGAGCTGGAGTTCTTAATACACTTTTATAGTGCTAACGAACAACCAGCCTTCCAAAACTTGATAGGACGAAGCAGAACAAGGAAGAGCTGGTCTTAGAGTATAGACTATAGAGAATATAAAACATTTGAGAAACCTCATTCTTAATTGCAAAGAACGTGTTAGTGAAGCATACCTATTTACGTTTACTTTATAATCTCAAGGCAAATATGCCTCACTATCTTGAAAAATTGGCCACACATGCTCATGAACTAGAGATCCAAATTCCAAGGCATGAAAGTTACTTATCAAGTGATTTACGTGACAAGAAAATTTTGAGAATGAAGTAAATAAGGACTGTAAGTTAATTAAGTCCATATAAGCCATGACAATTTCCATCCTTTTCCACAAAGATCACTTTTCAAAAGTCAAAGCCAGAGTTCAAATCTAACACAGTGTGAGTTCTAAAGAATGGTCTTCCAACTTTGAAAGAACTTGAAAATAATTACTCATTCTTATACTTTAAAGTCTCCATGATCTTAGATCGATTTCTCAAGCCGAAGATAATCGAACTTACATCACTAAAAAGGTTAGAAGAGATAGGTCTGGTTTATCATCCCAAGTATTGCAAATTCCATCGAGTTATTAGTCATCTAATAAAGAGATTATCTGGGCGAAAAAAATCCTATTATCCCATTGAACAAATAAAATATGATCAAACTTGAAACTTGACCCTAGTGAAAATTCAATTGTAGTTGCTCGATGGTTTCATTTGGATTATTTTTTTTAATTCAAAATAAAAGGATTCGACAGTTGATCTTTTCACTGAGATAAAGACATAAAAATCAGAAATAATATACGATTTTTTTAGCACTTGACCACCTTTATGTTATGGATTTCATTGTTCAAAAAATGATTCCCAGAGAAAAGAGATATTTTTACTTTAGTGATTTTTGAGTAGTAGGAGCAAACCTTTCATGTTACTTATCATGCTGGAAAATTCCAATCCAAACTGGTTGAATTAACACCTCAACTTCTAAAAAGAGTTAGGAGATGTATTCAATTGAGACTTTTGAAAATTTTGATGGACTTTTTTTTAAGCGATGATTTTTGTGGATTTCGTGAATTTTTATAAATTTGTATGAAATTAATGGAAGCCTTTTATAGACTTCCACAGACCTTTATTTTAAAGCTTTGCAAACTTTTGTAGAATTCAAAAGACTTTTTAAGATTTTCATTTGAAGTAGAATTCACGTAGATCTAGTGCAATAGAGTGAAGTTTTCATATACGAGGCGATGGTTCCCACAATTTTCATTCCCCTTCCCCTTCCCCTTGCCCTTGCCATTGCCATTGCCATATAATAAAAAATATTTTAAAATGAATAAAAATTTAAAGACCATAATTAAACAAATAATAATAAAATTTATACATATGTGATAAAAAAATAAATATTCAATATTATTAATATAATATACTTTAAAAATAAAAGAATCAATATATTTTAATTTAATTATAAAATAGTCTATATAAAAATTCATAATTTAATTAAAAATAGACATTTTTCACAAAAAATGGATGGAAAAATATTATAAGAATCCAATTTAATTTTTTTCCATAGAAAATAGAGATGATTAATAAAAGAGAGAACAAGAAAAATAGGTATATTATTATTATTATTATTATTATTATTATTATTATTATTATTATTATTTTGTGAAGTCTTCTAAAATCTCGTGATTAATGAGAGATAAATTTTGATATTTTATTTGAGTGCTTTCTACTTAAAATTTAGTACCCTAAAGACTTATTACAATTAAATACACCCTTCTTAATCCAGTGAAACTAAAGATAGACAGAGAAGTTATCGTTATATATGTCTATCTTGGAATGGACAAACAATATCGACATAACCGTTCAATATGTGGCACCACGTTCTTATTGATTTAAGGTTATCAACCTTTTTGATGGAAACACTTATATCCCCAACTTAATTTTGATCCAATTTTTATTTTTGATCTTTCATTAATTATCAAATCTCCTCTCTTATGATTATTTTTCTCAAAATATGTTCAAATGGTTTTTCTCACCCTTTTGAATTCTAAACAGCCCTTCACCCTCTTGTGTGCTTAGGAATGTGGAAAAAAAATACCTGTCGCGTGTGCCTTTTTTCAAGTATAGTGGGTAAATAAATCGTTTTATGACCTTACAATATATGTTTAGGATGAAAACTATTATTAGAGTTGAGATATGATAATTAATAAAATATTGAAAATAAAAATGTGTTAAGAAAAAATTAAAAATATAAACACTGCAATGAGCAAACATTAATAAATTTAAATTCAATTACAATATGATGTATAATAACTAATAAAAAGTGCTGACATAATTACCTTCACCATAGAAAATGAATGCATTTACTTATTTATTTATTTTTTATGATGGAGGAATCCACAGCCGCCGCTATTTTTCGGGTGCACATTGAATAAACCCTTGACTGATGCAATAGCCTGTAAACCACGTCAGTCAGATAAATTGCACTAGACAAATTCAGTGCGACAGACTCGATCAAAAAAGTATTAGTAGGAGGAATCGAACTCATGACCAAAGGCGAATTCTAACATTTATTTCTTGTGGTAGAGTTGGCATTGAGCCTATGGACCATGGTTGGTATATTAAAAAAAAAAAAATTAAATTTTAGTAAATTTTGTTAAAAATTAAAAAAATACTTAATTGAAAAATTGATAAAAATAATGAATCTTATGTAATTAAAATTAATTATTAATTCTAACTTAAAATTCTATTGGATTTTTGAGCTATACCAAATGGGGCCTAATTAACCGTTTGGCTTGTCCTACGTGAGGATAAGTTTATCCCCGTTCCCAACTCCCCAATCCAAATCAAACAGTTGAACCAGTTAACTGGAACTAGGGCACCTCCATAACTGCCAATAAATTGTCTAGAATTCGCTGCAAATACCAGTTGGGCGTAACAGAGAAACGGAGCTGAAGAAGAGGGCTTAGCATCATAGAGCAAATTATTGTTCAACTGCGTTTTTAATTATAACCAAAAGTAGAATTCAATTTAATTTACTTTCCTGATCTGCTATTCAATTTTTTCCACTAGTTACGCCCTTTTATCTCTCTTAATTGTTAATTAGATCAATTTTTTATGTATTTCATTGTTAATAACTGAAACTGGATTTTTTTTTATTTATTTTTAATTTTTTTGGTAGAGCATGGATCGGTACCAAAAGGTGGAGAAACCAAAATTGGAAACACCGATTAATGAGAATGAGATTCGGATTACAAGCCAAGGGAGGATGCGGAACTATATTACTTATGCCATGACTCTGCTTGAGGTAGTTATGTATATGTATGAAAAATAAATAAATAAATAATTATTTATTTATTTATTTATTATTTTTTTTACGTGTTTATATCTGTTTTTACCTGATAATTTAGTTTAGTTTGCATCCCTTTTGTGATTAATGCCGTTTGCATGGTTTAGCATTTATTTGCTTATAGAAATGGACTCTGTTAATTTATTGATTGGTTCAATTTGCAAGTTTCCTTTTTATTACAGTAAAATTTACGTGTTGTTTAATGTATAAAGAAATTAGAGTTTCTTTTCCCAGTATTATGGAGAAGAGCATTTTAGAATCTACAGGTTTCGAAAATAAGTAAAATCGAGAAAAATATTTAGAATATTGTTTCAATCTTATCAGGAAAAAGGATACCAGTTGAATTACGGTATAGAATCACATTGTCCCATAAGGTATTTCTCTTGGTAGTTAAGTACGATTATCAATGACAAGAAAATTTGACAAGGGTGTATATTAGCTAATATTAGCGAGTTTACTAAATGGAAACACAATGTGCTAAGTGGTTGGAAGACACCTACCAGATTATATCACAGGTTGTATATACGGATTGTCTTGCTAGGTATGCTTTATGGAATCAACTGCTACACTTTTAGAGGGCAAAATATCCATAAGGAGACCAGAATTTGAATGAATTGATTGTGTGATTATATTAGAATTAATAGATTAATAATGCGGTCTTACAGCAAAAGTGGCAGAGACCGACTTGAATACAAATTAGGGGAAGGACAAGTTTGATGGTTGGGTTATAGAAGTTTCTATTGACAAGAGTCATGCAATCCTATATTAGAAGATGTTGTAGTTATTATGTGGTTGTAAAGATTTTATTTCATAAAGCATTTCAATGAAAAGTTGGATCGAACGGATTTCAAGAAAGGATATATGTATCTAACGTTAAGATTATTGGAGAAAAGCCTAGCATGTTATGATTGTTTACTTAAGACCAATGTTACTAGTATAATCTTCGTTTGCGTAGATTTTTTACCATTATATCATATAAAAATGTAATGGCTGCTAGTATGGATGATTTCTTCCGCGCATTACTTCTCGGATATATCTTATGGATTTGATTATACAATGCATTTTTTGTAGGAAAAGGGTTCAGATGAAATTCTGTTAAAAGCAATGGGCAGGGCCATCAACAAAACTGTAACAATTGTGGAGTTGATTAAGGTTCTTCTTGCCTATGGTTCTCTCTGTATATTTCTCATCACTATATGTCATGATTTCGGAAGATGATTTGGATATATGATGCACTATTTGTATTGCAGAGGAGAATTGTTGGTCTTCACCAAATCACAGCTATTCAATCTACTGACATAACTGACACGTGGGAACCATTAGAGGAAGGCCTCCAAACGTAAGAGCACCTCAAATTGATTTTGGAAATGAAACATGATAAACTTGTGAGACGAAATAATTTCCTGTTGTAAGGATTTCTTAATTATATGAAAATATATACTTGGCTCTTGTAACAACATCTCTACATGCTACAGTCTGGAAACTACAAGGAAGGTTTCGGTGGTCTCAATCACGCTCTCAAAGAAGGAGTTGGATACAAGAAATGTTGGGTGAGTTATCGTATTCTTCCATTTTTAAGTTCATGTCTTTTTCATTTCATCTACCTCATGCTAAGCAAAATAATAACGCGAACAAGTCTATAATCTTCGCTATATGAATTTCTTAAGAGTGACAATTTAATGATATCACTTCATTTTGCAATTCTTCAACATTGTTATTGTAAACAGAAAGTAAAGTAAAATTACGAATATTAAATTTTTTATTTCTTTTTCTATGTTCTGGTAGGTACCAACCTCCACTACCAGCTGACCAGGTGAAGGTGCCTACAGAATATGAAGCAGGTGCTGTGAAGTCCTGTGATCCTTGTCTTTCTTCAAACTATGTCTCGACAAAAGCATCTTTTTAATATGTTTTGATTGTGCAGAGGGATCACCAACTGCTCGTGGAAGAGGCCGTTTTGGTAGAGAGCGGGGGAGGTATCGAGCTACACCAGGTATGAAATCTAATTGATGATTTCCTTCTTTTGGGGGGTTTAACCAGTGACTTTCCAATTATTTCTGGTCTGTGAATGATACATAGTGTGCTACTAAGATCTCCAGTTGTGTATATTTTCTGGACTTGGATGGAATAGAGATCTGTCTTTATCTTTACAATGCTTACTGCTCTGCCTTGTCAAAATGTTATTTTGATTGGAACTATTCTTTATTGAGCTATGCACATTAGGTTGCTTCCATTCTGTTGAACTATCTCACCTTCATTTGATGATATTGATTTTCCTGGTGCAGTCTTGGTAATGATGGTTTTTTAAAAGCGATAGCAAGAGGCATGGTGTTTGGTCTCTCATGTGACAAAGGCTTAAACCTTAAATTGTTCTTTCCCGCGAAATGTGAAATCCCATATTATGTCATAGTCATCAAAGAGAATTCAAAACAAAAATATTGTATTTGAAAAACTGCATTTTTTTTTTAATGTAATATTGGAAAAATATAGAGGAATGTAATGGCTTGACAAAAATTTAAAAACTAATGCATGGAAATTTAATCCTTGAAGGAAAATGAAGTATGTGAATTTTTTTAATAAGCGTGGATTCTATTTCTCTGGAACCTTATACCTGAAATCTTTCTGATAACACCCACTTTCAAGATTTCATTCTCTAAACTCCTTCCACTCAGGGATTCATCAATAGTAAAACCCCAAAAATGTACAACATGTGCAGAAAATCGATGATTGAAAATCTCATGCTGTTTCCAATATACGGAGAGAAGGAAGTGATTCTGGGAAGTTATAAAATAGATTTTGAATAGGTCTTTAATTAAAATTGAAAGATACGGGAAGCAGGAGATTTAAGGAAAAAGATGAAAAATCTATAATTGTTAGTTTAGGGGCTGAATCCTGTTTAAATTCTGCATCAGTGTTGAGAGATTGGATATATGAAAACTCGAGATAAGAAACAGATCACCCACACTGGGTTCAAATTTTGGGTTTGAAATCAAAAAATTGGTATATAAAATGAATCAAACAATAAACCTGAGACGAAAGTGCTCAACATTCTAAGAATAATTGCAGAAACTTTCGTGAAACTTTAGGTGACTTGTGTTGATCAAGCTGCAATAAGCTTCATATATGATGAAGCGGAACGTCTCTGTTTTTGTTGGAATTTTCATGACGATTGTTTTTTCCATGGAAAACACCACTGGTGTCATATTGGGGTTTGATATGGACTGCTCAAGGGTGGGAGGCACGAAAAGTCTCATCTCCAGCGGGTGGTTGTAAGGCAAAGTTTATATTGTTTGGCCAAGTAAATTGCAACGGTTTTTTTAGTTAAGGTTGAGCCTAGAGCCATGGACTGTTAGAGTGGTAGGGTAATTCCTGTTCAACTGTACCTTCTGTTTTGGAATTGTTAGCAGTTTTTGCAACTGGTTTTGTAACTAGGTTTGTGGAACCTTCCATATCTGGGCTTCTGAAAGTATGAGCACTTTATTAAAAGTATTATATATAATACGGTAGCTGTATGCCGTTTTAGGGAATGGTTTTGCACCTATTGAGTACGAGGATGGAGGTTATGATCGGAATCCTAGATATTCCCGGGGTAGGGGACGTGGCAGAGGTAACAATTTCCGAGGCCGTGGTAGGGGAGGGTACGGTGGCTCTCAGGTGGATACTCAGCATGATGCTGGAGGCTACAATCAAGAAGCACCTCTTCAGGGCCGAGGTAGACATTTCTTCACTATTTATTTCAATTTCCCAGTAAGATTAGGCAATTTGTGTGAGAAACTGGATACTGTAGGTCGAAAATACCAATTGTTTGTTGTTAGTAAGCTCAATTGCTTTGACCTCTATTTGTTGTTTTCCTTAAAATTTCATGAGCTGTAGTCTTTTTACTAAGCTGTACTCGTATAAAAGAAATAGAGCAGCCTCTCGCACATAAGTTAAGCTTGGCCTGTTGTATATATGATAGCCAGCATCTCATGGACTTTTTGTTGCAGGTCGTGGCCGTGGGAGGGGAACTCGTGGCCGGGGTCGTGGATTCAGATCTAATGGGCCAATCTATGCTACTGCTGGAGATGCATAGTGGTTCAAACTTGGAACAATGAAGGGTATAATGTTTTGAAGTTGATGAATGTTTGCTTCATTTCTATCTTATACCATTTCAAAATGCCAATAGTATTAACCATAGGAATGTTTTATCTGTACTCATCCTCTTTTTTTTTTTTTTTTGTTCCTTTTTTTTTTAAAATTAAGTTTGCCCCTTTGCTTCTGTAGAAGTTTATTTTGCTTACTAATTACATTCTTTGATTTTATCTGTTCTGGAAAAGTTCTGTTCATTTACATACCATATGGTTAAAAACCATCTTTTGCCTTGATTGTTTCAACTCACCTTAAAAGTTGTGCACTATAAGTACATTTTGTATTATTAAAGAAAACAAATATAAGCTAAAATCTTGTTATTCTGAGGACTATATACCAAACAAGTTCTGTGTGGACAAATTATGCTAAATAATGTTAGGAAATCGCCTTATGAAGGATCAAGCTAAAGAAACTTTTGACTGCCTGAACAGGTATGGATCAATGTTGTACATTTCGTCGTGATTATGATTCACACCTAAATAGCGATAACAACGGGGACAAAATGGGGTTGCCCTCCCCCTCGAGGATGGCAGGTCCATTTTTTGTTTCTTTATGAAGTGCCATCTACTTTAGATATCCCTATTGAAAACTTTTTCGAACTTCTTTGTAGTGACTCCTTTCCATCTCTCATTTTAGATGTAATTTCAAAGTGACTATTTCATTATGTTTCATACGTATCCTTTTGCTTATTTATTATTTTGAAAAATACGAGTTAAATTTTAAAATATAAATATGGAACAAAATAAAAGGAGAGTCGTATTTGTCCTGTCCCATTAGAATTTTTTTGACAAACGTGATGGGGTCATTTTTCTTTTTCCCCATTTAGGGCCTATTTGGTCATGATTTTGGGAGAAAAAGGGGCCCACATATAAGAAAAGAAGTCAAAAATTATTGTTGAAATAATGAAATAGCGGTAAAAAAATCAATTTTTTAGGATAAAAAATCACTCATTTGTGATCTAATTTATGAAGTATTATTTAAATTAAAAAAAAAAATGATTCAGGCTCGCCCCACCTATTGGGTATTTCCGGGAGGTGGCGCAGGTTTGTTTTCCCGTTTGCTGATTTATTTATTATTAAAATTTCTAGATACAATTTAAATTTAAAGTATAATAAAATAAAATAAAAAGTTTCACGTCCTGCTCTGAATTTTCCACTAACCATGGCAACATTTGATACTTTGGTTTTGCTATTCATAATCTCTCACACAACATTTCCTTTTCTAGTATTTGTTAAGAGTCCTCAAAATAAAATAAACATCAAGAGAAGATTTACCTGTTAAGGATAGCCCTTGAATTCAAATACAGATTTCCTTATGACCACCTCTTCCGCTCTACTCATTTCTCTCCATCAAATATTGTCCAACTTGTTTCCGTCAAACTAGATGCTCCAATTATCTTAACTGGGTGTCTCAATTTCTCCCTGTGCTAACGATCTCGTGGGTCCTGTGGATGGATCAGAACCATGCCTCGAGAAATCTCGTCCGCTTAAAGAAGGACAAGTTACTGCTGATGTCAATTCGAAATTTCTCCGCTGAATAAAGAAATACCAATTTGTCTTAAGTAGGGATGGAGTCAAAAAAAGACGTTAAGGTAGGCTGAAATTATAATAAAAAAAAAAAAAATTCAATGAACTCACGCCATGAGAGATGCTCCATCCCACACCAAATATAGTTTAAAAAACTAAGCTTGTGACACTAATGACAAAGTGAGTCAAATACTCGAATAAGTATAAGAATATCAATCCTTAAGATGCCTTACTAAATCTTTGTAGCTTTTCTTGCCAAATAAAGAGTCTTGACACTTCCCTAGAAAATACAAAATGTGCGAAAGCATGATAGACATGAACAAATGATGTATATCCACCAACAAAAAATTAAGAAAAACTCTCTCAAAGCCTAAAGGGAACAACAAGTCATTCCAATTATTAAAAGTTTTTAGTCAAAATACACTGCTCTGAAAAATATTATCTAATATGGGTATTAGTCTTCTATATCGATACAATTTAATTCCACTTGAAGTAGGAAAAACTGACTAAGAATATCGAGAGTTCAGAGAAATTAAATTTATTTCGCTATCATGTTTGACTCACTTCAATAATATAATTTTAATAATGTTAATTTATAGATAAATAAACTTTTAAGAAATATTATATTTCTACTGATAAAATTAAATATAGAGCAAGTTACCTAGTTTGATAACATCTATTTCATGGTTAATAGGTATTTTTAACTTAAAGTATAATTGATAAATGAAATAGACAAAAACTTAAATTTTAATTCCTTTCAAGATTTTCAATAATTTTATTATTTTTTTTTTGTCCCCACCACCATATTATATATGCATGGTTAGTTTCATTAAATAGTTTTCTTGCTCATAAGCCTACTAACATGGATATACTTTTTGATGTGAAGGTCTAAAACATCAATTAATCCAATTCTATCCTCCCATTTGGGTTTTATTTCTTTGGACTATTGCAGCAAAAATAATGTTGTTCACTTGTTCTTGTTCTTTATACTTCACCGACCATATTAAGCTCCTGTTTGGCTCCCATTATGTGAAAAAAATTAATGAGTGAAATAGTATTTTTTTGAAAAATGAGTGGTTGAAAAAAATGAAAAATTTTCGATTTACATGTAATATTATTTTATGAAAAATTGTGTGGTTGAAAATAGGAGAGAAAAAAATGAAATGTAATGTAATGAAAATTAATGGGGCTCAAACGAGAGCTAAATTTGGAAAGAATTTCTATTATTTTGAGCAAGAGATTTCAAAGTGGGATAATTCTAAAATTTGGTCCATTTAAGAAATTTGGCCAGAAGTGGGCAAATATTAGAGAAAGTGGATAGTGGGCTAATTCTAAATTTGGGCCAAAATATATTTTTTAAAGAAAAATTTACGAAGCAAAATAGGATCTGGGCCAAGAATGTACTGGGCTGAAGCCCAGTGCAACCTTCGCCATTTAAGTTGGTTTAATGCAACCTTGGCTAATGCTGTACTTTCCTACAGCTATGGCTTTATTACTACTCGCCAAGAGTGGGAGTCTCTAGCTAACCACCTGACGAGCCAACTTCAGAACCTCAAACAAGTTAATGATTCGAGTTACTTAATCAACTAATATTCTTGCTGACTAGATTGCTGTATTTGGAAAACTCGTCGATGATGATGATCTTGTTAACTGTGTCAACAATGGTTTAAACATTCCTACCTACATTCCTTTTATTGTTTCAGCTTCTTTTACTCTCCGCCATGACTCTATTAATTTTTTTTGATTATGAAGTTGAGTTATTATCCTATGAGATCTTGCTAGCAGGAGAATCCAAATCTGAACCTATCGGACCTCCAAATTCTGTTTTGATTGCCCTAATCTTGCCAATCAAAAGAAACTAACACGTCCCAACAATTTTTCTCCCTAACTGTTGGAAGAAAAAATGGGCCGCCTATGTGGGTTGACCCGATCCGGCTTGCATGGAGATGAATTTTAGAGGGAGGAGTTGGAAATTAAATTTTAAACTTAATCTCCCTCGATTAACTTCTTCCATATAACTTCCTTTCCACCAAAATTTGGAAATACACATGGTGAAATTCAGATTTTCAGAACGACAGAAAACAATATGAGTGTTGTGGCTGGATTTTGGAATAATAACATCTCAAATTTGGTTATTAGATTGTGGCTATCAAATTCCTTCATTTGTGATCGAATTTTTGACCAAGAAGTGGGTACAAGACGGCGTGGAAAGCAATCAAATGAAAGGCAAGTGATTCTTGAAAGACTTAAACTCGATCCTAAACAAGTATGCGGAAACAAAGTGGATCGAGAAATAAAAAATCTTGCGGATCGAAAATCATACCTCCAGACATTGATGTATCTTAGAAAGCTTCTTTACTCCAGGTAATGGTTTTTTTAGACTCTCAATGCACTTTATTTGATGGTGTATACTATATTTTGGGTGTGTGGAGCTTGGGGACCAAAACGGGAATTTATAGCGGAGTTTCCATCAAACTCTCTATGGTTAAACCTTTAATATCGCCAGAAAATCAGCACAAGAAATGGAACAAGGCAAGATTGGTTCAACGCGGACCATCAATCTTGGAGTTTCAAAATTTGTTGCCAAGGAATTTGGGATTCTCTTAACTGGAAATTTCAACATTCTCCCACTTGGTCCACACGTTTAACCCAATCTCTTAACTTAATCCCAGTCAATATAATCCTTAAGAAACAAATACATGAATCATGGCTATAAATTCTCTAATAATGATTATTACCTTCCATGAATTACAATTTATCTAATTTCCGAAGTATTATTCTTTATGTGGGAACTTTTACTTAATGAATAAACTTTATGTTTATTCTTGGTCCTATTAACGACATATTTTCTCAAATAAATTAAAGCATGCACGAATATGAGAAAATATCACAATAACTAAGAATTTCATTAAAATAACAATTTTCACATAATGAAAAAGTACATAATGGAACCAAGTCTCATTGACACTATATGATCCTTGAATTTCAATGGTGGCATGCCCTTAGTCAAAGGATCAGTAATAACCAAATCAGTACTGATGCGGTAAATGACCACTTTCTTTTCTTTAATACGTTCCCTTATAGCTAAAAACTTGATGTCGATGTGCTTACTTCAACTTCGATTTTTGTTATTCTTAGCCATAAAGATAGCAGCTGAATTGTTACAATATGTTCTCAATGGCCTAGAAATAGAATCCATGATTCTAAGCCCAAATATGAAACTCTTTAACTATACACCATGTGAAGTAGCCTTTAGACAAGAAACGAACTCAGCTTCCATAATGGAGTAGCAGTCAAGGTCTGCTTAACACTCTTTTAAGATACAGTCCCATCAGCTATCATAAAGATGTATCATGATTCCTGATGTTGATTTGCGTGAATCAACACAGCTAGCAAATTCTGAATCTAAGTAGACAATTACTTCCAAATTGTCCATTTGTTTATACATAAGCTTGTGGTTCTTTGTTCCTTGAAGGTACCTTATTACTTTCTTTGCAGCTTTCCAGTGGTCCATACCCGGATTACTCTGATATCATCCCAACATTCCCACAACAAATGCAATGTCAGGTTTTACGCAGATTTGAGCATATATCATGCTTCCATCGGTAGAAGCATATAAAATGTTCTTCATTTGTTCCCTTTCAAAATAATT